TTTTGTTGGTGACGCGTCAGTCCGATGACGACAGCGGGGAACTCCGGTGATGGAGGCGGACAGGTCACATTCATATCGGTAGCGACAATCTAGGTGAAAATTTTGACGACCAGCGGTAGCGGTCTGCATTTAAAAGTCTATGGACTTTTTGAAAATCAATAAACTTATCCATGAATTTAAAAGTCCATAGAATTCATTCATAAAAAAGTCTATGGATTTAAAAGTCTATTGACTTTTTTAAAAGTCCACAACAATCTATATTTGAACACAATTTATAACGAAGTGAATCAAATAAGTGTCTAGGGTAAGCAATCTATCTCTTTTTTTCAAGTGGAAATATCCCATTCAGGCCACTTTTCGATAACTCATTTCATTTATGTCACCACTTTATTTTCTTATCATCTTTAAACTTATCATTTTTCACTTTTCTTATTTGAAAAATAATCCATCCATTAAATCTAAGAAGGATAGCGCCCGGGCCGGCCCTGATTGTTTGGTATAAGTTTTTTTATGTTTCAAATGATTACATTTCTTGTCTAAAAGTGGCTTCATAACATTTTTTGGTTTATTCAAATAGTTGATATTACTAACTAGAAATCATTTTCAAAGTATTTAATTGGTTCATGCAAGATAGTTGATATCAGAAAAGCACTTATGCTTAGGAACAAAATCGGGACATGCTAAGATGAGAAACGGTTATATTTTAACAAAACATTATAATTTGAAGAGAAACTTTATAGACCTATGAAAATGTAGTGGAAAACGATAAAAAGTAAGAAGTATACCCTTCTCTTGCAAGTTGTAGAAGAGTCAATCTCCCTTCTTTTCTTTTTCACCCTCTTTTCCTTTTCGCTTTACCTCTAGAATATATTCCGTACAAAACTTGTAGCTCAAGACTTGAACAATCCTTGACAACAATGAAATTGATTAAATCGAATGATTTTGTTAACTTTTATCAAATTCCGAGCAAATTGTCTAAATGTGCCGAATTACAAAAGCGTATACTTTACGAAAAACAGTTACAATAGACTGTTTCTTCAAATTCACCAGAAAGTAACACCAATCCTTCTTTTCTCAATAGCCAGTTTAGCGTGTGGAATAAAAAACTGCATGTTTCATAAAATTTTACTGGAGTATTTGATTAGTCTGCTAAGACAAAATAGAGACTATGAAACAAGCTCAAAATATATACATTACTAATATAAAATAAACATGTAACAGTTTTGGTAATGATTATGTAATACCCCTCCGTCCAATTAAGATAATCTCATCTTTTCTTTCTCGTCATCACACTAAGAATCCGTTTGGTAACACTGAAATCGGCTGAATCGGCTGATTCTGCTGAAATTTATGAAGTTCTGGTTGAAATGGTTGTATTGGCTGATTCTGCTGATAAATGAAAAAGATTGTATTCAAAATATATTTTATTACTAAGTTCAAGGAAAAAGTTATATGAAAATAGCTAAAATGGTCATTTTTTCATATAACTTTTTTCCTTAAATTTATTAATAAAGTGTATTTTGAATAGATGAAATGGTTATGCTTAAAAAAATAGCTAAACTGGTCATCTATAATTTCAGCCAATACGGTTAGGAAAGTAACTCCAACCTTACTTTTTCTTATTATTACACATTTTAATAAGCGAAATCAAAGGTTACGTGTTTGGTTATGAAGTTGGCTGATGAGCCAAAAAACAGAGTCACCAAACAGGCTCTAAGATTGTTTTATATCAAATTTGGTAATGTTGTGTGGTTCAAAAATCATTTTTACTTCATTTTTACTTTATCAATTCAATACCAACCTCATAAATTCACTTTTCATGAGAACCACATCACTTCCTCTTGTACTAATGTTAAGGCAACAGAGGTAGTAGCAAATGAGATAGATTTTCGTAATTATGTCACCTATCTTCCTCAGAAGAGCCCATTTGCTAACTCATTAATCATCTTATCATAGTTATCAGCTTTATCAGTCAATATTTCTATCGAATACGTAACTTTTGATTTCTCATACTGAATTGTGCAATAATAAAAATAAATGAGGTTAGAATAACTTTTTTGACTTAATTGGTTAGAATTAGTGTAGATGATTATTTAGTTATTCTTGATATAACTTTTTTTAGTATATTAATAAAATATTTTTTAAATAAATCTTTCTATAATTCAATATATTCGAACAATTCAATCACTTTAGCCAGCATTTATTCAATTTGAATGAGCAAAATTCAATGAGAAAGAAAAGAATAAAGACTCCATGCTTTCATACTCACAAATCACATAATAATATGATAATAGCTTGTTACAAATGTTATGTAGTATATTTCTCAAGTAAAAAAAGAACTAAGGAAAGATTAGAGCAAGGAAAAAAAGAAACGTGTGTGGCTTGTCTTGGAGTAATAATATATTTGAAGGGAAGCTAAATGTATTGAAAGCTTGAAAGTATGTTAACTAACAGAATGCAGGATTTATTAAGGATTAAAGATGCTATACTAAGGTAAAATCATTTTTGCTCAAAGTACAAGTTTACATTAGCTTATAATTACACCAACAATTTTTCACGTACCCTTACCTTCATTGAATATTATAATATTTTAGATTTAGATACTCCATTTGCCCCTCAAAACTTTGTCAAGTTTGACTGACACGTAGAATAATAAAGTAAAAACCATGTAGTTGAGATTTGTGCATAGGAGAAAGAAATAACTGGATCCACAATTTAGTTGATTAAAAGGGAAAGTGACAAAGTTTTTGAAATATTCCAAAAAGAACAAATGACAAAGTTTAAAGGGACGGATGGAGTACGAGTTTTTACTGTTCACTGAGTGGTACTCCCACCTAAAAACCATTTCACTTCTAAATCGTTCGTTGAACTACATCTTTCACCGTCATTTTGCATTCACCCAATCTTTGTATCATCCCTTCCTCACCCGTCATTTTTTTTGGCTTCCTCCACTGATTTCCAGAATGCGTTCTCTCGCATCCTCCATGGACATCAATCTCCATTTGTCCCTTTTCTATCATCTTCGTCCAACGACGGCGGGAAATGAACCCTTTCACGCCCACTTCATTCTTCTGACTTCCCTCGATGATTTCCCGCATTCTTCTTTCACTCCACTCATCATCTCCTCCCCTCACAAGAAACCATCAGATTTCAAACGTTCGTAAATATCTTTGTCATCGCGTGTATTTTCATCATCTTTACGATTTCAATCTCCAACTATTATTTCCATTTCCAATATTCATTGCAACAACACTTTGAATATCCCTTCAATGATGCTTTCCCATTATTATTTCCATTTCCATTTTCAAAATCACAAAATATGCTTTCCAATATTCACGTTTTCCGAATTTGGAAAACAAGTAAAAGTCCTTTTTCCGATTCATTAAGGAAACAAAGACATATTTCATTTTTTTGGTTTTGGAAAACGTTTTGGTAAACACAATTTTCTGTTTTCTTTTCTCCAGTCTCCCAACAATTATTTTCGGAAAACACGTATTTTGTTTTCTTTTTTCCAATTTTCTGAAAACACGGAAAATATCTATGTTAGCAAACATTCTTTTTAATATTTTTAATCTTAATTAACATGCTTTTTAATAACAAAAGCTAAATGCCATTTTAATAAAAAGCAATACAAGAAGCAGTAAAAAAAGTTTTAGGGTTCTCTTCGCGAGATTTTGCTGCCGCCCAAGCTGCTCTTTTCCCACCTGCTCCAACGGTCTAGCCACAGAGAACAGATCCAAGATCTCTGTCCCGCATCACTCATTGTCACCAACTGGTACAATCATTGTATTATCATACAATGTGCTGATGCGTGTCTCCATTTATAAACCGTCCTAGGGCTTTTAGCCGCTAGGGTCAATTTTCCGCTATCGACATAAGTTGAGGAGCGGCGCTTTCTTCTTCTTCTTCTTCTTCTTTGATTTGCGAAACTCGGTGAGGAGGATTGTTAGGCGGCTGGAAGGAGTGTTGCGGTTTAGACGGTCCAATTTTGCGGCTAATTTGACGGACGAACGACGGAGGGAGGTCGACTTTGGTGTGACAGATAGGGGCTAGATGAAGAGAGGCGAAAGATTCGATTGTGCGCTGATTGTACAGTTTTTTGTTTTGCTTTCTTTAATTTGCAGATTGTGATCAGTCAAGATTTGCTTGTCCATCGCTTCACGATTCAATGTGATGAGGATTGGCGTTTGGCAACGCGAAGGTATGACAGGGAGTTTGATCAACAAGGAACAGGGTGAGGAAGAAGATGCAGTACTATTGGTCCGACCACCTCCTGAACCGCCGCCATTGAGTGCAGAAAAGTCTAGAGTTGCAGGCTTAAGATAGTGTTTGGCATTTTCGTTCTGGAAGATGCAGCGGATATTTTATTTTTTTGTTGTGCTTGCTATCATGGTGTTGAGTACTTTGTTTATTTTCAGTTTGTTATTTTTTATTTTTTTTGCATGGTAAGACTTTAAGCCTGGATTTGGGTGATAGGAGGTGTGTGCTTTCCGTCTTTGGCTTAGTTACGCCCATATATGGATCAACGAGTTATATTACCTCTTTTGAGGTGGTTAACTCTGAGTCTGGTTCGAGTGTAGGCCATTGCCTGATGTCTTTTTGTCTTTTTAAGCCGATATTTAAAAAAGGAATTAGAAGAACCTACTCCCTCCGTATTTAAAGGTTTCTTAAGGATGTTTTTACTTGGACTATAATTTGCCCCAGACCAGACCAGACCAGTTCAGACCAGACCAGAGCAGACCAGACTTGGATAGTTATAAAAATACAAAGAAACCAGACCTTACCAGACCAGACCAGACCAGTTCAGACCAGATCAGACCAGATCAGACCAGACCAGACCAAACCACCAAATTACAGTCCAAGTAAAAACATCCTTACACTTTTCTTTTTGGGATGTATTTAAAAGTTCCCCACACTTTCATTTTTGGTAAGTTTACTCTTTATAAAATAATAATTATCCTTATTTTATCTATTTTTTATCTTCTCTTTTACACTTGTAAACTCTCTCTCCTAGTTTTTCTACATGCCCCTACTATGTTAAAATATCGTGCCCAGAGCCCGTGCAGAGAACATTTCATGATTTCAATAGGGAGGGAGTATTTGTTTTGTTTTTAGTTGCTTGCAAGAATGTTTTATGATTTTATCGAGCTCTTGTAATTCCTTGTGCAATACTCCTTCAAATAAGCAAATTCACAAATCTCAAGAAATTCAATTCTCTGTCGGGGACACCATAGTTAATCTTGATCTGTGTGTTTCACAAACTTATCTGAGCTTCAGAATCCCAAACCCTAGCTCCCAAATTTTGGTATATGCTAGTATCGGAAAGATCTAAGTTATAGTTACAGATCAGATAATTTGATCTCTACATTCAATGGCAGATCAAGAGGGTGAGGAATTGGAGATGGCGTTGAGGATGAGTTTGCAGAACGAGTCACCGGAGCCGAAGAGGAGCAAGCCGGGAGAAATATCCGTTTGTGGAGAAGAAGAGGAGTCGCAGGCGGTGAGGAACCGCCGGAAGCAACGGGAGTTGATGGCCGCAGCTGCGGAAAAGCGGATGATTGCCTCAAAGCATGCGGCTGCATCCGTGTCAGCTACAGTAATTGGGAATGCGGAAAAGAGAGGGGAGACGTCTGCTACACAAGAGAAAACAGACAACTCAAGTTCTGGATTAAATGATGCTCTTAATTTGGTAGGATATGACCATAAAAATGTGAGCTTGGGAAACGAGTTGTCAGTTGCGGAGGCTGAGAAGTTATTCTCATTGATATTCGGCAGAAATGTCACTAGAGATGTACTCGGGCAGTGGACTAACCAGGGCATCAGGTATTGCTAAGTTCAGTCTGTAGGATATTTCTTCAAAACCTTCAATTTAAACTATTTGGCCCCTGAAAGGTTCCCCACTTTTCTTGTGCAATAATGACAAACTTTGACAATGATTTTAATTATTATATTTGCATATAATTTATAAATTTTATTCTATAATGAAAATAATTTGAATAAGGAACATTTTGATATAATTTTCATATTCAATATAATTTCGTATTAAAAAATATCATTGGTCAAGTTAATTGCGGGTGACCAAGAAAAGTCAATTCGGGGAACCTTTTCGGGACGGAGGGGATACTATATTAAGCTCATTTTCGAAGATATTTGTTTTTTATTACTCCCCAGCCATACATGTTTCATAGCCTCCAGAATTGATTATATCATTTATTATTTATGAAATTAGGAATCAGACATATTGTAAATCAAAGTTGGTTATGCTTGTGAATTCTGTACTGGTTAGAAATGTGGCAAAATTACTTTTGTGTGCTCCATTCAGTCACTATGAGAATTGTATCTTTAGTTCATGTTAGCTTGTTATAATTGTTTCTTAGCATTATTTAGTAGACTTGTTCTTCCTTGCTTTAAAGAATAACGGAAAGACATAGAGAGAGTGTTTCACACACGGTAGTTGAAGAATATTTTTCACATGAATGTATATTTTAAGAGCTTTATACAAGTTAGTTCATTTTATGGTGTAGACATGTGTTTATAGTTCACAGTGTTGACAAGTCACATACAGGATATGGTTTCTTTGTTTAAAACAATGCTACAATGCTTTATATGTCCTTCCCTTCTAGAAAAGTTGTCATCAACAAAATAACAATGCATCCAGATCCAGTCAATGTTTTGTTCAAACAAGTGGGCGCAGACTACAAAATCCACCAATACTTGCATCCCGTTTAAGGTTAACTGTGATTTTTAATCATGTAATCTTTGAAAACTAGATATTGCTGAGTAATCGTTGACTGGTACATTGTATACTTTATGAAGCTAATAAGCTATTGATCAGTCATTCCAGTGGACGATGCTCTATTTTGTGATAACGCCAGCTAATCGTTCAGGCCTAATTTCAGTGCTCGATCATCCCTGTTTTACTTGTAAATTCTTAATCAATTCCTTGTTATTCACTTATTTGTATCTCTTGGAGCTTTTACAGCTACACTACCAGTTTCAGTTTTGTATTTATAATTCTGTTTTAATAAGTCATTTTTGTTTATAATGTTTTCGAAGTAACCGATCTTCCTTCATGTGTACATAGATAATGCTATATCACATTTTTCTAACCATGATGGCAAACTTTATATAGGTTCAGTCCTGACCTAGAAACATCTATGGGCTTAGTGCAACATGAAGGTGGACCATGTGGTGTATTGGCCACAATTCAAGTAATATTCTACTTCCCTTGCTTTGTACTCCCTCCGTATTTTAAAGATCCATACATTAGGTTATGACACCAGATTTAAGGGAGAATAGTAGGGGTAATGAATATTATAGAAAGAGTAGGAGAGAAGGTGAAAATGTAGGAAAGAGATGATAAAAAGTAGAAAAAGTAAGGGTAATTTGAGTATTTTTAAAGGAAAAACTTACCAAAAAGGGAAAGTGTATGGACCTTTTAAATACACCCCAAAATGGAAAGTGTATGGAACTTTAAAATACAGAGGGAGTATTTGAAATTTGAATTCATTCTGTTATGTAATTGTAATGATGTCTTGTCAACTGTCATATCCGAGGATGACAGAAACTGGTCCACGTGACACCCTTCCACAAAGAAAATTGAAGTAGACCAAGGATTCAGACAACAGATTTTTAATACTCCATCTGTCCCACTATAATTGTCCCATTTTTTCTTTTCCGTCCATCCCACTAAATTTGTCTCATACCATATATGGTAATATTTGTGTGGCTCTGATTTATTCTTACTTTATTCCCACTTTATCAATTCATTATCATCCTCATAACTCTACTCTTCTTAAAAACTGCACCACACTCCGTTGTCCAAATCTTAGGGGGACGGAGGTAGTATATCCATGCCATGTTGATTTTGGATATTACAAATTGTCTCAAGAATTTTTTTGATTTTTTTTTTTGAAAATTTCATATACATCGTGGAGGTGCTCGGTTTGTGAATGTTTAAATCTAACACTATATATCAGTAAATATTTTGTTTAATGTTATAGTCAAATTGCACCTACCAATATATTAAGATTAAGATTGTTCTGTTAAATCTCTACAATTATATAAGCATGAATCATGTTAGGGGTATAACAGTCATAGAAAAAGTGTTGGTGTCTCCTTGTGCATTAAACAATTGTACGGAATGCATAAATTACTTCACTCCTAAATCATTTGGCAACCAAAGGACTGACGAAATCCTTCCTTCTGTCTACACATGATTGAATCTACTCTCCCACTCCCACGTTTTGGTTCAGTTCGCATAGTTGTATATCTACCGCGTTTATGTTCAATTATTAATTGGAAGGGCGAAGTGTCTCAGCACAACTCCGATCCGATAAAAAGCAATTTATCCCACTTGCTCTTTTCTTTATTGATGGATGGGGAAGAACAAAGAAAGTTAGACGTATCAAATCCTCACTATGACCTTGAAGATTAGACATTTAGACACTTCCAATTCTAAATGTGGGATAGAACCTTTGGTATATTTTATTTTTTGGTACACGATTACCAAATTGACCACCCAATGGTATAGCCTTTCCCTAAAGTCAATGATCTTATTCAATGGATTGTGACTTTCTCAGCTTTAGTTTTCTATCGAATTTTCATTTGGGCTCGTTGGACAATGTACAGGTGTGCTCCAGCAAAGTATATTGCCATGAAAGCACCTACCAACTATGTAGTATTTTATTTGGAATTAAAACGTACAATCATAACCATTTTATATTTAAAAGTACTTCATTAAGTATAACTAACACAATAATCTCATATTTAGAATGTTGGTTTCAAAAATATAGTAGTGTGAATTTTTTAAATGATTTTGAAAAATGTGAAGTGATTTAATTAAATTTAAATGTAATATTACTATTACTCTTTGTTTAGAAGTTGTCATCTTTTGTTAAAGATGAATACAGAATATATAATTTTATTAAACTTTTATTTTCCTGGAACATTTCAATATTTTGCATGTCTATAATTATACAGAAGTTGCCTTCTGCAGGAAAACTACAGAAGGCATTTCAATATAATCCCTTACAAAGGATTCCTAACTAAATGTGCATGTAATTGGGTTACCATTTGTTAGCTAGGCAAGCCGTTTCTGAGTCTGATTTTATAAATGAGTTGTTATTTGGTTTAAGAAAAAACTAAATGTGTATTTAATATTCACATTATTCATATATACAATAATACATTAGTGTATGAGCACTTTCCCTTAACTTGTTAATATATATGCTTGTAAATAGCATTGGGCATTTAAACGAACGCGCATGGCGCGTTAATAAACTAGTAATTATATAGATACTATGGCCACTATCCATGCCAAAAAAGTAGAGAGTTCTGTTTGTGAATTTTACAATTATGAATGGTCACCTGCACCCCCGAAAACTTATATCTAAGATTCTATGGGGTAATGCTAAAAGTTTTGTCGTTAGGCCTTCAATGAATATAACAACAACACCCAAGCCGTAGTCCCAAAAGATTTTAGGGTTGGGTAACATGAATCAACACATGAAACCGGAACTAAAGCGAAAGATAAAAATATAAGGTAAGATAAAAAAAAGATATGATAAATATAAGATAAAGATAAAAATTATAAGATAAAAAGGATAAAAGAAAAAAAAAGAATAAAAGGATAAAGAATATAATAAAGATAAAAAGATAATAATGATGAAAAGAGATAAATCCTCCAAAGTCATACTTTCATCTAACTCGAAAAGAAAGATACCATTTCTGATTCCTTTAATTTGTGTCTGTTTGGTTCTTTCTCCCCCTCTCTACCCTACCCATTCTCCTCACCTATTAACTCGCCAAACAGGTGCATCACTCATTTTTCTACGCTCATGTCCAAACTGCCGCACTCGAGACTCTCTCATCTTATCTTCAATAGGTGCATCACTCTTGTCTCATTACTTAAACAATCTTTTCTAGTATGTCCACACATCCAACACAACATACACATCTCAGTTACACTCATCTTTTGAATATTGTTTCACCGTCTAACACTACGCATACCGTAATGCAGGCCTAAATGTTGTCCCATAAAACTTAGCCTTCATTCTAGTTGACGTATCCCGATCACATCACATAGAAATCCTGCCACGCTTCCATTTATCCACGCTGTTCTGATTGTATGAGATACATCTCCATCTAGTTCACCATTCTTCTGAATTATGGAGTCCAAGTCACACAATATATCATTGACTGGGATCTCCTTATCATCTAGAGATGGGGTAATCCCACTATTACCATTGGTTCTACTCCACCAAGCTTGCACTCCATATACCCAGTCTTGCTTCCAATGTTTATCCAGCCTGAAACTCTTGTTCTCCAACGTTTATCGCCAACTCGCCATACTTCCAGCTCTGCTTTAACACCTGATTGTGTCTCATCAATCAATACAATATCGTCATGAAACATCATGCACCACAATGGAAGTTGACTTAAAAATGAAACTTGACTTCTAAGACCATTTTTTGGGGCAAAAAAGGTTCTTTAAACAAGACTCTATTTTTTGGGACAGAGTATTATTTTTATGTACATGTTATGGAGTAGTTTGTTTTTGTCTTAAGTTTCTACCGGTGAAAGTTGTAAAAAAATTGCTTTGTTATAGGGATGATAAGATAACATAGCAAGAAAACCTATAAAGCTTGAGCACATTAGCAACTCTGAAAAGAAATTATTGTTTTTGGTATCAATGTTTGGTATCAATGTTTGGTATAACATAGTTTGTTATTGTTTTTGGTATCAATGTTTTGTACCTTGGAGACAATTATTGTAAGGTATGAAATTTGATTTATTCGGACAATCAGCAACTTTGAAAAGAACATCACCAGTGTACATGATTCCATGGAGTTCTTTTTTCATGCGCACGTGGTTGGTGCAATCTTGTTGATACTAATTAATCTAAAAAACATTACCAAATGCCCACCCTTTTCACAAATTGCTGTAATTACGTAATGTGCAGGCTTTTCTTCTAAAATACCTTATATTTTGCCCTGGGGAATTAAATACTGGAACACCAAACATATCTGCGAATACAGGCTTGAGAGGATTCTCCAAACATGAATATGCAGGTGATGAGATTTTCTCTTCTCTTACTGAAGACAAGAAATCAATGTGAGTGATCTCTATTCTTTAAGAAGTTTGAAGCCAAGATGACTACTTTGTTTGATCTCTTTCTTCTTTATTTAATATACTAATGTTGGTATTTTACAAGGTCAGAGTGAAAGTAGCATTAAACTTGAACAGTGGCCACAATTCTTACGCTTCTTTAGACTTTATGCTCTGGCATTTAAGAAGAGCAGATCATGTAAATGGATTGTTTTTTATTTTCATTTGAAAATTTGAAATGAATTAATAGTTTCATTTCATCATGTATATATTGGCTATGGTTTGAAATTGATAACCATGTTATGGAGTTGGGAAATTTGGCTATGCTTACTCCCCATTTTTGACATTACACTCCATGTTTTATTTTCTACAACTTTGCACCCCAAAGCATTCTAATGTGGACTATTTCAATGAGACTTTTCACCGCATTTGGTAGACTTTACACTCCATGATTTACCTTAATATTCGATTTTGTAATAAGGGTGCAAAGTCAATTATATAAATATGGATGCAAAGTCAAATATTGATTTGTTTTATATATAAAGCAGATTTTGTTCATCGAAAAAAAATGGCGGGATGAGATCGAGTTTTTTAAATAAAAAATGGTGAGACACTTGTAAACAAGTGTAGCATTTAAAGAAAACTGTGGTGTTATTTTAGAAATCACCAATTGTAAGGGAGTGTTTGCAACAACTTAAAAAAAGCACTTCTCAGCTTTTGGCTTAAAAAAGCACTTATTTACCAAAAACTACCAATTTTTACTTTTTCTCGGCTTGCGTGTGGAAAGTGTTTTTCCCTTTTCTATTACACAAAAAGCACTTATTTTACCAAACACTACCAACTTTTACTTTTCCAAATCACTTTTTTCTCAAACACTATCAACTTTTACTACTAATCACTTTTTCCTTACATCTCCAAAAGTGCTTTTTTTTTAAGCAGAAGAAGTTGCAAACACTCCCTAAATGTGAAGTGCGTCCTTGTATACTGTATACATAACACCGCTCTGTTGTACTCACTACTTGTACATGTTAAGCAAGTACTCTTGTCTGAAAACAAATGTGCATCATCGAAATGGACTGGTGGGAACCGCAACATGGGGAATGTCCGTGTCTCATTGTAAGGTTCATTTTGAGTTGTAGGTCATAGGGTGGGCAACTTTATCTTGGCATTTTCTTTAATAGAAAGAAGTTCTGATATGCATTGCATAAGCCATAGAGATAGGATAGACCTTAACGTACTGGCTGACGTCAACGCCCTAATCAAATCTGTGTGTGCCAAGTTTCAATAGTGTTTGTCCAAAAAACATACAATTAGCTTTATTTGTTCCATTGTGTGTGATGGGTGTGTGTGTCAACTTCTACACTGTGGTCAAAAGAACATAAAAGTAGCTCTGTCTGGTCCATATTGCCAAATTGAAGGACTAAGTGCAACGTTGGTGTTCCTATTGGTATTAGGGCATTTTGGAATGCGAGGATCTCTAGCAGCCTTTCAGGAAAGTAATGCTGAAAGTAAATTAAGTGCCTATATCTCCATATTGTGTGTGTGTGTGGCATGTTGTTTGTTCTATTCTGACATCCCAAACTTCAACAACGGTGGTCCAAAGAACAATACGGTCCATATTGACAAGATTATGCAGCTCTTATTGCAGCTCCTAACAGTGAAATAGTACCAAGTATATTTTGTAATTCTGACCTAGGCTTGCCTTTCACGTTTCAACATCAGTCTAAATACTTCACATCAGTTATTCTTGAGTTACCATTGACTAGAGCATTTGATATCTTCATGCTTATAGATTATCCTCGAGCATTCTTTTGTTGAAATATGAATTTTGTTTTTTTTTTGTAAAATAAAATTATAGTCCCTCCGTTCCTTATAACTTTGCCAAAATTGACTAGCACGTAGAGTAATAAAGTAAAAACTGTGTGGTTGAGGTTTGCGGAGAGGAGAGAGAATTATCAGGAACTACAATTTTTTTTATTTAAAAGGAAAAATAGCAAAGTTAGTGGGAAAACTAAAAAGGGAAAATTGGCAAAGTTAGAAGGGACGGAGGGAGTATCTTCAAAGTTTTACATAACCACGAATATGGAAGCTTGACTAATACCTCTTATGTTTTTGCATGGTAAAGAGCATTGGTGAAAAGTATGGCCGATATATTGTTTTTATGTGGAACAAATGGAAGGGCATCTATAGCATCTTTGAGAATTCTTGATAGGGACCTTGAAGGCTCTGTTGACAGCTCAAATGATGAGGTGAGGCACAAAATTCTAAATGTTCAGTTGGGACTCATGCTGGGAAGGATCAGAAATATAGGTTGTGTTGTGCTGAAAAGTAATTATACTAGACTTAAAGACTAACAGGGTGGGCTAAATGAGAAAAATGAAAAAAACTTCACTACGAAATTCAAGGAAAAAATACTGTCCTGAGCTTCAGCCCACCATAGCCATAACGTTGATCTGCTCCAGGAGTTATGAAGACCTTTGTGCATCCCATCCATTACCGATTAATCCATTTAAAAAGAAACACAATTTCTCTATCCATTTATTTGCCTCTTTCTACTTCCTCAGTGCTTATGTTTTGTGGGTTTTGTCCTTGATATACAAGCAATAAGTTGCTGAATTTAGTCAAACTATTATAATTAAAAATCATAGGTTTATATACTGTAGGTTAAGCACATCAAACGTAGACACATTTTTCATAAGCCGCTCATCAGCATTTAGATTAGGAAAAAGTCAAGTCAATAGTTTAATGTCATATCAGTAAACACAGCTATGTGATTCAACATGAATTAGAGACTATCCTTCACACAGTCTAGAATACAATAAAAAATCTATGGGTACATAAGTACTTTATGTATGCCTTAGAGATTTTCCAGTTATTTTTGTGTTATCCGTTTTCTTATTTGAAAAATATGTTACTCATATAATGTTCACCATCACATATTATTAAAATGTTGTGAATGACTCACATATTACTATCTTATATTGAAATGAACTTAGATTACTATAAGTAAGTGTCATCATCATATATAATTACACTTACTATAAGTAAGTGTGCATTATAAAAATATTATATCAAATATATAATGTGGGTCACGTGAAATTGCCAATGTGATTTTGAACCCAACCCAACCCAACTAGGCACTCACTTCGGGGGTGAGATTCAATATCCAAACCCAGTATACACATTAGGTGGGCCCAGCAGCAGATATCAATAGGTCAAGTAAAAAAATTCATATACAGTAATGGGATTACTTTTTAGACAAGTAATCGGTGGTGGCTACTATTTCTAAGCTTGGATCGGAGTATGAAGGCATCTGAAATAAAATACGCAGTGAAGTAACAATACCAATACAAAATAACAGAGAAATCTATAAATGTCTCCTTCAATACCAAATCCCCCCACCCCAGAAGATATCACTTCCTACATTGGGCCTCTGTTTCCTATGTTCGTGGTGGTTGTGTGATAGATGACGGTAAGGTTAATATAGAAGAGAGGGAAGATGATTTAGATGGTATACATAAAACCAATGTCCGAGCTTGGTTTAAAAAGGTTTACACGGTGAAAAAAATCACTGAGGCATGAATTTTGGGTGAATGAAGCGAGGCGTTAGCCTCAAATGGTTGGGGCATAAGCCTCAGGTGAATGATGTGAGGAATAAGTTTTATGTTAGTTTTTTATTTAATTCGTGCGGTACTAACTATTCAACACCCTTTAATGTCAAACACCTTGTCTGATCCATCATCTAAACCAGGTAACTTTTTTCATAACACATACCTAATAGGCTAATACCATATTAAGACATGAGTTTTAATCCAACAAGGTGAACATGTGAAGTAGCTAAGTCTTATATGTTTGATATATAGTCATTGTGAGATAAACTCTTTAACGGCCTTATAAGTCTCAAGGCTTAGGCCTCATATTTTTTGTTTTTTGTCCTGGTTAAAATAAGTTTTATTGGGTCTATATTTTTTGTTATTTAGTTACCAAGCCCATAACATCCTTAAGCATACTTGCAAGTTCACTTATTTTGCATAACAATCAAACCAAAACTACTCTGCGCTTCAGCAAAAGTGTAAACAATTCTCACATATCTCCTAGGTTTTGACCTCCATACTTTAAACCCCAAAAATTTTAGTTCGGAAGAAAACATATACTTAATTTATTTTCAGACCTAATAAGTTTTAGGTCCTTTATTTTGAAGGCTCAGGGCAAGTGCCCGCTTTTTCCTTTTTTCTTAGGAGAGCTCCAAAAGCTACTATTGCTATTCTCCTCTTCACAAAGCTTAAAAGCATCTTTTTGAACTATAGTTAGTAGATAGAATGCACAGGACATGAGTGTGATTCCATTGTTTCTACTGCTATGGCCAGTGAGCCTACTTTTGCTCTTATGGTTGTTGCATCTCAGTGAAACCCTATATGGTTTATACTTTATTGGGGTGCAAGTGTGCAACATAAATCAATTTATCAAGTTAAGTCAAGTAATATTCAAGTTTTTTGGTGCGATTTAGCGTTCATAGTAATCATGTTTAAGTCAAGGTTTCTATCAAGCTTGGAGGACATGATTGCCCCATAAAGCATATGATAATCCAGCTTTAGGAATATTGTGATAGTATATTCTTAGAAACCATAGGGATTAGACCATTAGGTGCAGGTCATTATTTCTGTATCCAGGGGGTTTATTAGCTTGAATCAAGTTTGGTCATTAAATCAGATTAAGTGCAACTTGAATCAAGTTTTGTCGTGTTAATTTAAAGTTTTCAAGTTGCAACGTTTTTGTTACAAGTCCAAGTAAGTTTCTGGTATGTGGTATCATGTTTTAAGTTTAAGGTTTACATTAAGCCAGGAGCATATGCAGAAAGTCACTAGAGCTGGTTTTATCTTTGGTACCCCCAGTCTTCACCCGAAACCATTCCCATGAACATGCACCCATCTTCCCGCCAGTATCATACAACTGAATACATTCTTCAAATGGACTCATTTGCTCTAACTTACTTGCATTATCATGAAACTTTGGTTGAAGCTCAACAGTTTTATCCATCACATCAATCCGTGTCACGTAATCTGCATAATTTTTCATAATGACCCCTCTGCTACTGTCTCAGTTTCCTCTATTCCTGCAGTCCAGGCACCACAATCTAGAGAATTGGTTCTCACAAAGCTCCCTAATCTTCCCTCTTCATGATATATCGCAAAACCATCTACTGGCATACCCTTAACATTTTCACCAATTATTAAGGCATCAGGGAAGAGGCCAGGATTGAGATCATTGTCAACCATTAGAAACATGTCAGCGTCAACATTAGTAACATCACCAACCTTTTCCTTCCAATTCCCAGTAATTCCAAGACTGGATAACCACTCCAAACCCCGAATCAGATCAGTGTCTCCCAAGTCCAACAAGTAGAACTCCCATATAATCATGAAGTTCTGGAACCAAAATTGCAAGCTTTCACATATGCCCCGATAAGAAATTTGTTCTTCCCAACTCCACTTGGAATCGTCTCAGTCCCCCCTTCCATGTCTGGCTTGATCCTGGGATTGCCCCACCCTTGCTATCAGATGTTACTTTGTTCCCCAATGTATTGTGACTGGATTCACTGGAATTTCTCCTACATTTCAGGCCTTGCCCTCCATTCAGTGGTTTGCTAGACATACCCCTCTTGTTTTTCCAACCTCGTGTGTACTTGTTAGCAGCATTTTTTTTCTTCCAGGAGAAGGGCCCTGTCCATCAAGTCAGCCAAATTTCGTGAATGATACAGTTTAAAGTCAGCTCTAATCTCTTCCTGTAGTCCATTCATGAATATACTTTGAAACATCTCAGATCGCATTTCCTGCTTTATCCTATTAATGAAAATGTCTTTGAACATCTCAGAATCCTTGAATCTCATAGAAGCTATCACCAATTCATATATCTCGTCATCTGATGCCTTTCGGTTCATGTATTTTTGAGAATTTGGGAACAGGAGGGACACATTTTCATTTACATGCTTGTCAATAATCAATATACCAGTCTTAATAATGTTCTCAGGTAACAAGTGATAAGCACAATTTGATATATTCAGATCAATCTCCCTTCCTTTCCTGGGCAGATATGATATATGTTAATGGACACCTCCTCCTCATATGATGTCGCCTGTGAACTGATGGTTTCTCCTCTGTCTAGCCTCGCACTAGGGCTCGCATAGGGAGATCTCCGTGATTTTGAGTCTCCACCTGATGGTGTCACACTCTGCGAATGGATAGGGACATAATCTGTGAACAAGGAAACCTGCGAGTGGACAGAATCTGCTTGCGCTGACGATGAAAAGACCTGCGAAGTGCGAACAAGGAACAGCCGTTTGCGACTTTGAACTGGGAGAAGCTGTTCACGATGGCGAACTTGAAACAGTTGCTAGCGACGGATTCACGCTGAGACTAGCTGTTGGCGACGATGATGAAGTTCTCAATTGCTAACTGAGAAAAGTTGCTCGTGACGGAACCTGCGCACTTCGCGATGCACTGAGAGACTTGTCTTGTGAGGACGACAACTGGCTTTCAGTTTGCCGGCGATGTCTAGGAGGGCTCCTCGCCCGATCTCTGTGTCGCCTGTGACGAAGTTTGCGCAACATATGGCGCATCTCCTTCCACTGACTTTCACTAGTCCATACTCTTCTTCACTGTCTTCCAGGTCGTTGAAGCTGATGATCGATTCAGGCTCCTGGAGCGATTGCTCTGATACCAATGATAGGAACCAGAGCCGAAGAGATTAAAATAGACGTAGAATTGATATGATAGTACTGAACGGAAAAGAGAAAGATACAATTTCGACAGTTCGAGTCGTCTCAACACTCCCAAGGCCTAATTCCAGATCCAAATTCAGCCTGCCGGCCCTGCCCCTATTCTACTCCCCCAACACCTATTTATTCTTTTCCATTTGGGCTAGCCCAGTTCTATTTAATTCAGGGTCTAAATCATTTTTTATTCTATAATATTAAAAGACCAATGTTGTTCTTATTTCTAGTACTATCTAGGTCTCAATCAGGCACTCAGCAAAGTTTAAGTACTTGCCAATTGGAACCAGCCATTGGAAGTAATAAAAATATCTACTCGATTTTTTTTTAATAACCGTGTCTTTATCAATATAGGGCATTGCAAAAGCACTTGATGGTCTTACAATTGAATCGGGCCTGGACTTTCACAACATTCTGAGTGTTACTGAATACACTTCACAAGCAAGTGCCCTTAATAGGATTGAAGCCATGCTTCCTGTATACCGAAGTCGTATGGGAGCAATGCTGTTTCTAATATCTGCTTTGCTTTCTCGTGGAGTGGTAAGCCATTTTTTGACCAAGATCCCTTTCAGCTTTTCATCATATTTTTAATAAAGCCAAGATGATGCATTAACTTTTGTCCTTTTTACATATTAGGATTTGGGAGTGCAACTACTCTATGTCTCAATTAAGTGCTCTTAACTTAAAAAAATGGTTAACATCAATGCCTTGTAGCAGTATGTCAATGTGAAATATGCATTCATTGTTTGTAGTACCAAAGTTTCACATGAAAAGAGGTCATCATAAATACTTTTTTAACAAAACCAGTAAATACATGGTAGAATTTCAGGAATGCATTGGGTCACTGAATTCGGCCATATGATACTTAGTTCAAATGGCACAAAAATATTGATTTCAATGTATTTGCTACTTCAAGCGACAACTACTACCAGTGGCGGATCTATAATTCAAGCTATGGGTGTTCATTTTTTTCTAAAAATAAAAATTGAAAAGACAATAAATGATTAAACTAAATTTATACATGTATACTAACATATTTTTCAAAATTCTAGGTGTTCTGTGAACACCCTTGAACTAATGTGGCTCCTCCACGGCGCCACTGACTAATACCTCCGTCCCGTTTTAAGGTTCCCATGTCAAAATGGCACGATTATTTAGACAATAATTAAATATGCTAATTCCAATATATTTTGAGAAATAATTTTGATGAGTATATAATATAATGGGTTATTGATGATAACTGTAATGTTATAAATGTATTATTTTTAATATTTGATGATTAAATTGTTATTTAAGAGTGTTAATTGTTTCCTAAAATAGAAAGTGGGAACCTTTAAGTGGGACTAGGGCTGTTAACGAGCCGAGCCGAGTCCGAACACCTAAAGCTCGAGTTCGGCTCGATAAGGAATTAATGGTGTTCGGGTTCGAGCTCGAAGCTAGGCGATAGACGTTCGATGTTCGGAACCGAGAGCTCGATAGCTTTAGAAATGAGGCTCGTGTTCGGCTCGATAGACGTTCGATGTTTGAACCGAGAGCTCGATAAGCTCGATATATAATTATATATGGTCGAATTTAAAATTTTAGGTGATGCTCGTTAATAGGCTCGTGCTCGAATGATTCGAAAAGTATTCGGTTCGTTAATAATCATATTTAAATTCATAATTCATACTAATTATATTTAAATTTTGATTATATATAAATTATATTTATAATTCCAGGGTGTTTGATAGGCTCGAGTTCGAACCGAGCCGAATACTACTATGTTCGAGCTCGGCTCGATTAATTTTTTGAACTTCAAACCCAGCTCGTGTTCGGTTCAAAAGCTCGTTAGGTTCGAAACCGAGCTCGAACTCGAATAATTCGATAAAAGCTCGGTTCGTTAACAGTCCAAAGTGAGACGCCCAAAAAAGGAAAGTGGGAACCTTTAAATGGGACGGAGGGAGTATCATTCTTTCTTTAGTTTTTTGATGTGGGGCCCTAAAACATCCCGTCATGTAGACAACCGAGGCATTTTGAATCTAACTGCTTTGACACTTGTAAATTGGACTCTCCCCGTAAAATTGAAACTAAAAATATCCCAACACTTAAGCTACAATGAGCTGCTGAAGTTGGACTCCTGTATAGTCAACTGGGTTATATGGGCCACAAGCCTCTGAAGTTGGAGTTGCAGATAGACGACCGGCTAAAGGTTCACGGACCCTTGCGATTGACTTGCAGACGGATGGACTTCCAGACGATCAAATGGCTGAACAAACTGGGCCAAAATCTGCTCTAGTACCATGATAAACTTTCAACGATAAAAGATTAAATCCAATCTATTAGTTTGTTTTTCTACGGTCTTATTAATCCACAATTCTCTGTTTACTTTTCCGGTGTGCGAGTCTGAAATGTAAATAACAAATTTAGAGTATTATAGGCGTTTCAGAATTTCAGCATTAATTAAATGTGCATGCATGGATTGCATGCCAACGGTTCGTTATTAGCTGTGTGATAATAAATGTTTGAAGCCCACGGTTCACACTTATTTGGTTGCCTCTTTGCTGGCTTGCTTGGTGGGTTAACAATTTGTTTTGTTCAAGTAGGATTCTGTTCAGGCCGACAGGGATGATCCGACACAACCATTGGTCACTGCTCCTTTTGGACATGCTTCTCAGGTGACCCAGGCAGCAATAAATGACATTTCTCTTGCTATTGGCAAATCTTAAAACTCTTCAATATAAGTTAACAATAATGTCCTTTAGCAGTTATGTTGAACCTTGATATTTTCCGTAATAGGAAATTGTAAACCTTTTGCTATGTGGAAAGGCTGTGGCAAATGTGTTTGATGGAATGATGGACTTGGGTGGTGGAATGTTTGTGAAGGGGATATCAAACCCCGTTGAAATAGGATTCCTTACTCTGCTCGAGTCCTTAAACTACTGTAAGGTTGGCCAGTATTTAAAGTGTCCCAGATGGCCAATTTGGGTTGTTGGAAGTGAATCTCATTATACGGTCCTATTTGCTCTGGACACCAAAGTTCAAGAAGAGAATGAACTTGAAGGCAGAGAAGTACAGATCCGAAGAGCATTTGATGCACATGATCAAAGTGGTGGTGGTGGATTCATTAGTGTGGAAGGCTTCCATCAAGTCCTTAGGGACACTAATATTAATCTCCCAGCTGAGAAGCTTGAAAACCTTAGCTCTAGTGGATTCATCGTGTGGAGCGATTTTTGGCAGGTTCTTTTGGATCTAGACAAGAGCCTGGGAGGGTTTAAAGATTCAAGTGGCTTACTGGGGGGAAGGGTCTTTGATCTTTACCACTTCAATGGAATCGCAAAATCAATTCTGAGCGGGAACCAGGCATCATCTGGAAGTGAAGTTCCCGTACAAAGACCAAGATTGACTAAGTTAAGGGTTTTAGTTCCCCCAAAGTGGACCCCGGAGGAATTCATGTCAGATGCTCCAGCACGGCCTGACTCTACTAAAGTTGATTCAGGGGAAATAAAGGACACCATCACTGAAGCGTCTAAACCTGAAGTTTCTCAGCATGCTCCTTTAGTTGACTGTATTCGGACACGTTGGGCCCGTGCCACTTGTAGTTGGGAAGGCGATGCACCCAGTATAGTCTGATTGGTAAATTTGGGGAACCTCATGACTCTGGAAGCAAGTGAACACACTGCAATTGTAAGATAATTTTCAGCCAAGTTGATAGTTCTGAGTCGAGGGTGTCTTGCACATTTCCACCCAAAGGAAAAAATGTGACGTCTGTTTCACATTGTACTTGTGTAATTTATGCGTACCATTTGATTTGAAGTCGTGTTCTGAGGGAAGAGGGTTTCAGTCTTCCGGTTATATTTTCCGATCCAGGGAATGGGTTAATTTCCCTTGGATGTTTTTTTTCTGTAATTTTTTTCCGCACAGGTTTTATTGAGTTGGCTATATAGGCTTTATTGTTGTAACTGTATAACCTTCCTTATCTCAAGGGGAAATGTAATGATTTGAAAGTTGCACAGTTGAGAAAACATAGGAAAGACTAAGATTTGGAATTTGGAGCAAGGAATGCACTCAAAAAACACACTTACACACTAGGATGGATGTTCTAAATGAGATTGAAAGTAGACATTTCAAGGTAACACATTAGTCATTGGTAGAGAGACCATGGTTCACGTCCTGCGGTTCTCAGTCAGAACCATAGCAGGGGGATACGGTCTTGGTATTGGGTTATTAAAAATGGGGACTGGAATTATCTGGTATGGTCCCCATTTGATTTTTTTTTGCTTCTACTATGGGTTGGGACTTGGGAAGTAGTTGAAAAGGGGCGGAGTCCTCATCCCAATGGCTCTTTTGACCATTAGAGGTGTGTTTTTTTAATTAAAAATTAAAAGTTGGGATCAAACAAGAACCGGTTGGTTGACCAGGGATTGAAAGTGCATTGGGCCAAAAAAAGGATGACACTTCATTCCTAAGAGATCCCCAAAACTGACTAGACAGTTATGTGGGAGGATGTAAGTTGAGGTTTCATCTCACTCTGATGAAAAGAGAGTAAAGTTTCATCCCAAGTCACTGCTTGAAATTGAACATGTGACCTTCCTACCAAGTAAGCTACGCCCCCAGGTAAGACATAAAAAGAAGAGATATCATTGTGTTTGGTGCAATGGGAGTTATTTATGTAAAAAGCATACACGTTACAATGTAGTATCGGTTCCAAATCCGTAGTGAGCACCATCGGATGTCCCTAAGTCTCATTTAGGGGTGGGCTCTAGTGCTGGACTCGGGCCGGGCCGCCCGGCCCGGAACCGGCCCGGCCCGGTTACTGTTTGGCCCGGCCCGGCCCGGGGCCCGGTGGGTCCACCGGTTCGGTTCGGCCCGGCCCGGCTGCTGGGCGGTTCGGGCTCGGGCCCAGGTTTGGGTGAACCGGCCTGGCCGGTTCGGGCCCGGTCCGGGCCGGATTTTAATTTTTTTTTTTTTTGGAAATTTTTATAAGTTTTAGGTTGGATTAGGTATTTTGGGCCATTTGAGGTGGTTTCGGATGGTTTGGGGTTGAGGGGGAGGGGTAGGGGATTAAATAGGAGAACAAAAAAAAATTAATTGGGCCGGTTCGGCCCGACCCGGCCCGGAACCGGGACCGGAACCGGCCACCGGTGGTTCGGGCTCGGGCCTCCCCTTTCCTGGCCCGAGGCCCGGTCGGGCCCAGGCCCGAACCGGGCCCGAGTCCAGCCCTAGTGGGCTTGGGTCAGGCCGCCCGGCCCGGAACCGGACCGGTACTGTTTGGGCCCGGCCCGGTACCCGGTCTAGGGGCCGGTTCGGGCCAACTGGAACCACTCAACTCCCGGTTCGGGCTCGGCCCTTGAAAATGTTGAACCGGCCCGGCTGGTTCGGTCCAAATTTGTTTGTTTTTTGTTTTTTTTTTCATTTTTTTTGTTTCTGCCGGGTAGGGCTGGGAGTTTGGGGGGGGGGGGTGAAGGGGAGGTCGGGGGTAATTTAGAAAAACAAAAGAAAATAAAAAAAATAACATTGAGCCGGAAACCGCTGGTCACCCGGGTTGGTTCCGGTTCCCTACTTCCCAAACAAAAGCCCGGCCGGGCCAAGGCCTAAACCGGAACCGGCCCGAGTCCATCCCTAGTCTCATTAGCATATTAGGGATGAGCATAGGTGCAACTTGTAAGTAGGGGTGGACGCGGCCTAGTCCAGAACCGGGTTGGCACTATTGTGGCACTTTTTGGAATTGACTGGGAATATTTAGATTTGTTTCGACTTTGCCAAGGACCGGCCCTGTCATCCCTAGAGCAATTCACGGCCCTGATTAACAGTTCTAGAGTCCGAATCGGGCGGTTCAGGTTTCATTTTCAATATGATTTTTATAGGTTTTGAACCGGTCAAAAAAACTAGAAAAAAATAATGGGAACCGGGAACGGACCAGCTCGGTACCTGAAACCAACCCAGACCCGGAACTAAGCAGGTTGTACCAGAGCCTCAGGAATTCTTTTTTCCAGACTGAGCAGTCTCAGCCCGGAACCGGAAAGACCCGGTTCTATCCCTACTTCTAAGTCGTAACTCGGACTGAATTATCCTATTAAGGTTCTGGTTCAAATCCAAAGGTGTTACTCGTAACTATAGGAAAGGTTTGAGTGTTTGTTTTTGGAAAAACTCAAACCCTCTAACGGTTCTCTCATACTAAATTTGCTGTATATCTGTAGGACTAAAAATGGACAGGGAAAAAACTTGGCCATTAGGAGAAGGAAGTCCATAACTGGTGGACCACCCTAAATTAAACTTACAAGTTCGTGGTGGATGGCATACAGTTGGTTTCAAATAGAGTCCAGCAGATGCAAACTTAATACATTTTTTTTTTTGCAAAATAGGAAATTACACGTGATAGATATTTTGTAAATCAAAGGTCCTCCCCTACCGCAGGAAAAGAGACACCAACAAGGCATATATCATTTGTGCAGGGGACAGCAACAGTTTTGCATCCCAATATCTGCTGCAAGACAAGGAGGATTCAGGTTTCCATCTTTGTACCAGTCCAACCGAGCTTGAACCAATTCACTAACAAAACAATCCAGCTTGTCGATTGTCACATTAGGCATCACAACAGCATGTGCCATGTTTCTTTCGCAGGCAAGTTGCCATCGGCGAACAAATTCCTCGTCTTTAGGTCTCTCAAAGACAACAGTGCTACTAAGCTCGTTGAGCATGACACTGATTCCAGCACCTTTAAGGCAATCTTTTAGGTAGTGTGCATTCCTAAGACACTTTTGGACTTCTTTCTGGAAACCCTTGTAACCTTTTCTGTTCAGGGTGTACCAAAGAAAGATTGGAGCGTGGCCATTTCGGCTTCCCATGATGGTGGCATCCCTTGAAGCAAGGTACTCCACATTCCTTGAGAGTGCGTTGATGTGTTCTAGCCTGGTTATTTGAACACCGCATGGCATTGGACACCCCACAAACTTGTGACCAGAAACACTGACGCTGCCAATTGGTTTCTTGAAAGAAACTTTTGGTGCCTGTTTACATCATCATCCCAGTTCAAGTTAATATATCACTTGACAAACTGCATTTATTTGCTAGTTTCATTGTGGCGTTATAAGTACAGAAATAAAGAAAACAAAAATAATGTAAACAGGTGAGAACACGAGTCATGTCACATGTGCACAAATAGGAGTATCTTTGTTTTATGCAAAGTATATGCCTCATTCTGTTCCAAAAAGAATAGCAAGTCATATTTTCAGGAAAGAATAATGGTAGTCTTACTTGTAAATATGTTATACTCCCTCCATCCCAAATTGAGTTGCAAATTGGACTGTTTTTTTGGGTCAAACAGTCTCATTATATTCACTTAATTAGGATATCAATTCCTAATTAAATTTTAAATTGGATTTTGCAACTTTATAGAGATTTTAATGTAGTTTCTAAAAATGTAAATTTTAATAATTAAAATTGATTTATTTATCAATAGGGAGGATTTAACTTTGACATTGGTTGACCAAAAAATGTTGTCTTTGTAAAACAAATTGGGACGGAGGTAGTATGAATTATGGAGTACTATGTTGTAGAAAGTCAAAACAAACGTAACATTTACTTACACGTTTCACAAATGGCATCATAAGCCCAAAGAGTGCTCCATCACAGTGTATATAAAACCGATTATGTGAATACCCACATTCTTCAAGTGTATGGATGACTAGATCGAGATCGTCAACTGCCCCCTTGACAGTTGTGCCTGTGATAAGAGAAAGAAAATGAACAATCAAGCAAACAAGCAACATGTTGTAACTTGTAAGTAGGTTACATGTGTCATGGTCAAACAGAAGCAAAAGGAGGTCATACCAATGTTAACATTAACAATTGCGGGTTTATCTGTGTTAAGAAGAAGCTTGTCCTTGAAATCTGCGCAATCAATTTCACCAGTGATAAGAGTGTCAACCTTAACACATTCCATTCTATACATTCGTGATGCTTTAAAAACTGAATAATGTGATTCTCTTGAAGCATACAAAATTCCATCAGGAAATACTTCTCTCCTGCAAAGTGAATTAATGATTTTAATTAATATGTGAATGATCATGGACCAAAATCAATAGAAAAGCACAATATCCCCTACAACCAAAATGCCAAATATACTAACCCAACAAGAATTCCATGAAGATTTCCCTCAGTCCCACAGTTTGTAATGTATCCCCAGTATTCATTTTTTTCAATGTCCCATAAACGTGCGAACCAATCCAAAACACCCACTTCAAATTGCCTCGAGTGGACACCATAGTTGCTCTCAATGAATGGATCACCAAGGTTGTTAATGGAAAAATGCTGCAACTGTGAAAGATCTCCATAATCAAAATCCAGATTGTACGGATATCCTGTAACATTAGACATCTCAAAATCAAAATAATAAGAAACGTGAACCAAGATACTATGTATAACTCAGTGTGGAGACAGAAACACATTAAATGCAAGAACATGAGTGCAAACAAGAAGGCAAGATATTCTCAGAAGTGATTCACTGTGGATGACACTGAAACATTGAACTCATTTACTAGAAGTCCAAATGATAAGGCACTACAGTTTTATAGATGTAATTTAACAGTAAAATTGCACTAAATGCAACAATTCATGGACAGAACTGCAGATAAAATGTGAGTTCTTAAATTTTTGTGTAGTGTACATTGTCAAAAGGCAGATAGTCACTGTGATCACAGATAACCACAAAAGGAAGTGCCTTCTAAGAGACCAATCAGACTTGGCAGTTGTGTATTTTGTGGATGGATTAATTTAAGATTTTAAAAGATAGGATTGATTAGATGATGTGAAATACCTTATTTGCTTTATGAATAATGTTAGTTATACTAAATTGTTGTTTAGAAACAAGCGTATTATTTCAAAACATCAGTTCAAATAGCTCCTCGGTCTATGACCAAGAAGCTACCAGATACCGATTTAACTACTTGGAGTTTCATGGCACAAAAGGTAAAATTACACTTTTGGGGTCCTCACATCTGGCCTATAAAGTGGTAAATCATGATTACTTAGCAGCCCTTTAAGCAAGAAGATCATAAACGGGACAAGGGGCCACCAAGTA